TGGGAGGAGAGCACCATGGCGGGCCCCAAAATGACTAGAAATGAACCCAAAGTCAGCCAGAGCGCCGGTGGGTGGGCGCGGGGAATGCGCCTCCCCGGGGAGGGGGATTTGGGGAAGGAAAATCCCAGCAGGGTCGGCCCCGCTCTTGGCTGACATTCTTTCCACTGACCGATCCCTCGGCTGGAATCTGGCCCGGAGCAGGAATAGGAGGAGGTGGGAGATGGTTTCTGACGTTCCCAGTGGAAAAAAAAAAAAAAAAAATACCCTCTGGATTATAGACAAAGCTGGGGAGATGCTGCTGGAGTCCTGGGAGGGCTGGGGAAGGGTTAAAACCCAGTGCCCTGCTCTTGGTCACACAAAGCCCATCACCGTGCCTCAGTTTCCCCACGGGGAAGGTGGGAACTGCCCTGCTCAGGGCTGGATTCCTCCGATTCCCCACGGCTTCAGCAGAAGCAGGACCAGGCCTAAAGGCTGGTGGGCGACACGGGGGGCACGGGGCAGCGATGGGGAGAAGCTGAGGGGCTCTGGGCTCTGCCCGCGGCGATGGCGCAGACCCTGGGGTGCCACGGGGTGGCCACGAAGGGGTGCGGGTGCTGGCCACGAGGCTGCCCCCACCCCGGCCACCCCGTAACTGAAGGGACCAGATGACACCGGAATGCGGGACGGAGCTGGCAGCCACCCACCCGCCCCGGTGCCACCCGCGGTGGGGCAAACAAAGCCCCCGTTTGCCGAGCCGCCCTCCCGTCCCGTCGTGCCAGCTCCCCCCTAGGGCAGCGTAATCCCCGCGGGGAGGGCGAGCGCACTGACCGCAGACGGACAAGTTTTGATGCGAGGAAGCAGCTTAGGGTGGGCTCAGGTTTCCTTTTTAGGTCCGCTATATTTATCTCCGTGATTTAATGCCAGCGCCGGGGTTTAAATGGCACCAAGCAGTTGGCGTGGGGAGACGGAGCAGCCGTCCCCGAGCCGCACGCACGTCCCCCCCCATGGAGCTCTTCGAGACCAACCCTTACTTTTTCCCGGACCAGAGGTTTTACGACGGGGAAAACTTCTTGGGCTCTCGCCTGCAGGGCTATGAGCCGGCGGCGTTCCCCGAGCGGCCCGAGGTGGCCCTGTGCCCCGAAAGCAGGGTGGCTTTGGAGGAAAAGGACTCATCCCTGGCCGAGCACTGCCCCGGGCAATGCCTGCCCTGGGCTTGTAAGATCTGCAAGCGCAAGACGGTGTCCATCGACCGGCGGCGGGCGGCCACGCTGCGGGAGAAGCGGCGGCTGAAGAAGGTGAACGAAGCCTTCGAGGCGCTGAAGCGCAGCACCCTGCTCAACCCCAACCAGCGGCTGCCCAAGGTGGAGATCCTGCGCAGCGCCATCCAGTACATCGAGCGGCCTGCAGAGCCTGCTCAGCACCCTCAACCAGCAGGAGAGGGAGCAGAGGGACCTGCGCTACCGCCCCGCCGGCCCCCAGCCCGCCGTGAGTGCCGCGACCCCCTCCCCGGGATCGGGGGGACCTCGGGTGGGGGCTGCGGGGTGCTGGCGGGGCAGGAGCGGGACCCTGTGAGAGGTTGGGGAGCGCAGGGTGGTGTAGGGCAAAGGGGCTGAGAGCTGCCTTTGTAGGGAGGGGGCTGCGGTTGTAGGAACGGGGTTAGGGTGGGCTGGAGGTGGGCGCTGCGCTGAGCACGGTGTGGGTGCTTGGGAGGGAGCCTGGAGGCATAAATGACAAGGAAATGGAAAATAAAGGAACATAAATAAAATAAAATAATAAAACAAAATAAAATAAAATAAAATTAGATTAAAATTAAAATTAAATAATAAATAAAATAAAATAAAATAAAATAAAATAAAATAAAATAAAATAAAATAAAATAAAAAATAAAATAAAATAATAAAATAAAATAAAATAAAATAAAATAAAATAAAATAAAATAAAATAAAATAAAATAAAATAAAATAAAATAAAATAAAATAAAATAAAATAAAATAAAATAAAAAGTGTGCCCCTCCCCACTCACACACACACTTCCCTCCTGCTGAGGCTTTGTGCATGGCAGTGCCCAGCTACAGCCATCGGTGTAGGTATGGCTGGCGTGGAGAGAGGTGGAGTGGTTAGAGGTGAGAGGCAGGGACATCGATGAGGCAGCTACAGCTGGCACATATGGAGATATAGATTATATACATTGTACAGGTATCTAGACTACATAGGGATTACAATTACATTGATAACTAATTTTTTTGGGGGGGGGCGTTAATTCAGATGGATTTGTCAGATGCCCCCGCGCCCCTGCTGATGGAGGGGCCCAAAGCAGGACACGTGCCTGCGGTTCCTGCATATTGAGCACAAAATGCAGGATTCTGGGCAAAAAGAAAAATCCTTAAGAATTTCCATTTTTTTAGTGGGAAATGAATCAAACCATTAACGAGCTGGCTGTGTCAGCAGCCAAGACCAAGCTGGGACCCAAGGTTTGGGGGTTCACCAGCGAGGTTTGGCAGCTCAGCTCCGTGGTGCTGGGTGACCATGGGGTGGCCCTGGCAAGGTGAAGCCTTCCCTGTCCCCCCTAGCCCGAGCATGGCCACCTCCCAGAGCCAGATTCCATTTCTGAGCTGCTACAAACAGCAGATGGGTCCTGGGGGTTGCTCCCACAAACCCCATTTCAGGTTTAACCCAGGCCAGCATCTGCTTCTAGACTGAAAGATGAAGACGCACACACACACACACAAAATTAATTCTGAGCTTTGCTGGGTAACGCGCTCATTTTTCAGGCTGTCAGCTCTTTTCTGTGAAATCTTTACAGCCCCAAGTCCACAAATCAAACTGCAAAAAGATCGTCCCCAGAAAGCCCCTTGGGACAGCCCGAGGGCGCCCAGCCCGTGTGACATTTTTTATTTAACTCGATTAGGTGATTTTCAGCAAAAAGCTGTTTTGCCCAAGGATGTTCATCTGCTTCCAGCCCCTTTGTCATAGTTATTGGGTAAAGAGACACTTCTTAACCTATACTGAGAGGATGGCCACTGGTCCAGAGCCTCCCAATATTTTTTTCAGCCCTTACAGTGGCTAATGGTGCATCTGGCACTGAGGGGTCTCCGGGGACCCCAAATGCCACCCTCTGCTTTGCAGGCAGGGTGAGGAGGGCCGTGCCCATCATCCTACATGGGCATTGTGCTGCTGTGATGGGGGCACCCCGGGGTGTTTCGGGGGGCAGCCGGTGGGGTTTGGCTGGGCTGGAGGCAAGACCCCCACAGCCAACATCTCGGCTCCTTGCAGGCAGCCAGCGAGTGCGGGTCCGGCAGCTCGTCCTGCAGCCCCGAGTGGAGCACCCAGCTGGAGTTTGGCACCAACCCCACGGGTAAGGTCCTCCCTGCCTCGTCCCTGCGTCCCGCAGCCTTGCTGGGGGGGGACACCACAGCCCTGGGATGTCACCGAGCCAAAGCTTCCCCTGGGGGATGCTCGGGGTGGAGGACAAAAGGAGCCTTGTCTTCTCCCCACCCCGCAGACTTCTGCTGTCGGGGAGGGATGAGCCCCGCCGAGGCTCATAAATCCTCCAGCGCCACCGTGGCTCAGTGCTGAGCTCACTCAGGCTTCTCCCGTTGCCTGATCCCATGGGACGTTGGCTCCCCATGAGCCGAGGAACTGGACAGCAGCAGTTCGGTGCCGCTAGACCCCAGGAGGGTTTTTTTTCTGTTGCCAGTCCCGTGGCTTGGCTGCCCATAGCCGCCCTGCACCACCTCGCCCTCCCCATGTCCCCAGTGCAGCTGCTGCTTTATTTTCAGTTTTGCAGTTAACCCCTTCCAAATCCACCTGTTTTCATTTTTTTATTTTATTATATTATTATTTTTTTTCCCCAGAAGATAAAAACTTAAATCTCATTTTCCAAAATAAAACCAAAACGTTTTCCAAAAGTTTCACTCCCTGTTGCCATCTCCAAGGGAAGGTCTCAGCCCTCAGGGTGGGAGCTGGGTGCAGGTCCCCGAATCACTGCGGCCACGTGGGGAGGTAACGGGGTCCCCTGCACACCAAGCAGGAGCCGTCCCTGTCCCGCTGCCACCCCCTGCAGACGCCACCCCTGCTTTTCACAGATCACCTCCTGCCTGACGAGGCGGCAGAGGACCGCAACCTCCACTCGCTCTCCTCCATCGTGGAGAGCATCGCCGTAGAGGACGTGGCCGTGACGTTCCAGGAGGAGCAGGTTCAAAACTGAGCCGGCACAAACCCCGGCGGCTCTCCGAGCTGGTAACGGGGCGGGAATGAGATGCTGGAAGGGTCCAGCCACTGGAAATCCTATTTATCCCTCCGGCGCCGTGGACTACACCACTGAAACCACTCAATTCCTTTCCCACTCTTCGCCAAAAGCTCTCGCCAGCTGGAAAAAGAAAAGGGGCAGAGGTGGGGTTGTGGCAGTGCCACAGCTCCCTGCTGGCAGCAGCCCCCGGTCCCCACTGCCAGCGTCGGGCACGGCTTCGTCCCCCCGGCCGGGGGCATTCGTTCCTTGGGGGCCACCGCGTGTGCTGGGGTCGCTTGCTCATTTTTTTCCAAGATGCTCTTTGACCAACGTCTCTCTCCGGCTGGCACCTCGCGGGCTGCCCTCGCCGGCTTTTCTACTGAACGCTGTGTGGAGTTGCCATTTGTTTGTTGTTTTTTTTTTTTTTTTAATTATTATTTTTGCTAACTTATTTGGATTTTTTTTTTTTTTAAATAAAGGCATTCTTGTTTGAACTGCTCAGGGCCTCCTTTACTGCTGTTTCGTGTTGTGCAAAGCTCTCCTACCACCACCCCCCCAATTAGGGGGTTCTCCGTATGAGAAAATCCTAGGGCTCTGTTTGGACCTCAGTGATGGGAACTGGGTGTCCCACACTTCAAATCAGCCCTGTAAAGACCAGAGAGTCCGCTGCCTTACAACTGGGACTCAATCCTGTACCTCAAAAGCACTCAGGGAGCAGGTAATGTTAACTCTGGGCTCCAAACGTTAATTATCTTTTTAATTTGGGCTCTAGAAAGAAGGCTCGAGCCAGCACTGCTTTAAAATCCTGTTTATTGGAACACACATACATCCTTTCCTGACCCAATTCAGGGTTTGGAGTCCATGCAGTACCAATAATATGACGAAAGAAATAGGGCATCGATATAAAGGGCTCACCGACTCTTCAAATTAAAAAAATATTTAATACTGTATTAGGCAAATAATACACCGAAAAGACATCGTGACTGTATAGCCTCTCAGATATTGCACTTCCAGACAGCACATGATAAGTATAGGTCATTCCAGCCATCAATAAATATCACATCAGAAATAGGGGCCACACAAGGCAAACGTGGCATGAGGAGACGAAGAGATCCTACCCTACGGGGGAGAAATGGGAAGAGCTGAGAGCCTCCTGGATCGATCCCTGCCCGTAGCCTGGGGGCAGGAGGGGAGAGCATCTCCTCTGCACCTGGAAGGGAAGGGATGGGCACGTCCCGGGGTGCCGGGTGCCCTCGTCGCGTCTCCCCGGTCCCCAGGGACGGTCCTGGCACCGTCCTGGCTGGCAGCGAGCCGGATGGGGTGGTCCAGCCCTTCCCCACGCAGCCCTTGGCAGAGCTGCCATGTGAGCACCCCAAAATGCCCCAACTGCCCGCTCCTCGCCCCCACGACAGCCGGTCCCTGCCCCATCCTGCGCGGCGCCCACCCTGGCACTGGCCTCAGCCCCTGTGTCCTGTCCCGGGGGCAGCTCCTTGCCCATTCACCCCAGCGTCAGGATTTTCGCACCAAGACGAGCCTGAATCCTCCCCGGCTTCGAGTCCTGTGGGCAGCAGTGTCCTTGATGCCTGGAGGAGCTCCGGTGTGCCGGTGCAGCAGCCTGTGGCATATTGGCAATGTGAACCAGGCAGGAGAAACGTTCCCAAATATCGCAGCCCGCTTTTGGGGCATCTCCGAATGGGTTGCAGCACACTTCCACCAGCGATGGAGCTGGCACCCAGCGAGTGCACCTCTAGCCTGGCTGGTGCAGCGTGGGGTGGGCAGAAAAGCCACGGGTGGGAGGCACGGGGAGCCGGGGGAAGCAGCGGGGTGCACAAGCAGAAGGGAGAGCATCCTTTTCGGTCCATGGCAGGAGCACTGCGGCATCTGTTGGTTTGGGCCGAGGAACAGGCGCAGGCTGGGCTCTGGCTTTGTCCTGAAAGGCAGCCAGCACGTGGCTGAACGGATAGTGGGGACGTGCTGAGAAAGAAAGTGGGAAAGACTCCATGAGGACAGTGGTGTGCCTCTGTCTGGGGACCCACAAGCAGACAAACCCAACCAGAGTCAGTGGGGAAAGCTCCTGGCATGGAGCTCCGTGCCCTGGGGCACAGCAGGGTCCCTGGAGACTCTCCTTCCCTCACCCCACTGGGACCCCACATCTAGGGTGGTATCCTGGGGACCCCAGGGACTGGACAACTGGCATGTGCTTAGGATGCTGAGCATCTCTTCTGCATCATCTCAGGGTCCTGTGAGCTGTTCCCCCACCGCTGAGCTCTCCAAACACCCCCACGGCGAGGCAGACTGTGGTGACAGCAGACACCCTGTCCGGGTGGCACCAGAGGGGGACACCGTGTCCTCCCGCTCCCCTCTTGGTCCCCACCCAGGTCCGAGGTCCTCGGTCCTCCTCGCACGTACCCAGGGCCGGGCTGGTTCCCGTCACGCTGACCCTCAGCAGGAGTACGTCCGGACCGTGGAGGTCTCCAGCCGTGGCGACCCAGAGGCACCAACTGGAAGCAAATCAAAGAGCACAGCATGAAATTAGTGACTGCCCCAATTAGCCCTCGGCTTCCCACCAACACGTTTATTAGGCAGCATCTGTGCGCTGAAGCTACACGAGGCAAAGGAAGAGGTATGCCTGGCCTTCACCCAAGGCTCTAGGGTATTTGGAAAGTTACCACTTGCCATCCTGCCTTGCTCTCGGGCAGCGAGCACCCTGCTGGCTGTATCTGGGGGCTGTCAGTTGTTGGGATTTTGCCCCGGGTTTTATTGTCCTTGGCCAGCTGAGAACTGCATCTTTCAGGCATGGGATGGAAAAGGGAGAGAAGTTTGACCTCAGCCACTAGTAGAAAGCTGGCCACTGGTAGAAAGATGGACAAGACTGGCTCCTGTGGGGGTAGAGGACCCGAGGGGAAGGGGGTGACCGACCTTCTGGGGGCATTTTCTTGGCAGGGGCGGATGGGGGTGGCAGGGGCACCAGGCTGGTGACACGGAAGCCGGCGGGCAGCGTCTCGGCCGAGCCACTGAGCATGTTGATGCTGTGAACATCTCGTGGGCGGAAGCGCTTTCGCCAGGACGGGGTTCGACGGAAGGTTTTGTCGTCGCCCTAGGAAGGAAGAGAGGGTTTGAGCCCGGCAGCCTGGGCAGCAGGACCTGCAGCCTGGACCTTCAGCCCTCGTGAGATCCTGGCACTGCTTTCGCCTAACTGAGTGTGTGCCAGCATGCCGAGGCCACCCCAAACTGTGCAGAAGTGTGTGATCAAATTGGGCTCAGCACATAGGAGCCAGCTTGCCTCTCTCTTCTCTTCACCCTGCCTGCAAAGATGCCCTGGATACATCACCACGGGAGCCGCAGCAAAGACCCAAAGAGAAGCATCTAACCTTGTACAGATGGTGGCATCTGGAACCTGCTTTATTCCATGCTCTAAGGAGCGTCCTGACCAGGCCTGCTCTCATACTTCATGCAAGGAAGCTGGATGTAGGACAGATCCAGATGAATTCCCACCTTCAGTGACTCAATGCGAGCAGCTTTCTGTCTGCATCATGGGGCATCTCCAACCCACCAGCTTTACCAGCCACAGATGTGTCATGCACAGGACATCTGTGCCTCTATAAGGCAATATTAAAGCAGCTGGCAAGGAAAGCCAGTTGGGTCCTCTTCAAATTCAGCCCACCAAGCACTAGAAAAGATGCACAAGACCCTACCTCGTCTGCCTCCACAACCAGTTTTACATTTTACATAATTTAGTTTTGAATTATTCCACTGGTCATGGAACTGCTCTAGATTCTATGAGGCACTGCTTGACTCCCCAGGACAAGGCAGGAGAGAGCTGAGGCCCTGTCAATCCTATTTCTTGAACAAGAACAGGCACCCAGCACGATTCGGGCCTGGGCGGTTTGGTACTCACATCATCCAGCCTCCGATCTGTGCCCAATGCAAGCAGATTGTTGAACTCCCTCTCCAGCACTTGTCGAGCCTGAAAATAACATCAAATGAACGCTCCCCATCGATGGGAGCAGTTCCCAGCACAACTCCCCAACCCAGAAAACCCTAAGAATGACAGAGAAAAGGCCCGGGCATCACCCGAGTGCTCTGCTCAGCGCACGGCGGGGTTGGTGGCACTGCTGGAGTCACACCACGGCCACGTCCCGTGCCCACCACCCACCTCCACAACACCCTGGGGATGCTGCCCCTACCTGCGTGTTCTGCGTGGGGATTTGCAAGACGAGCGCCAGGCTGTTGTGGTCGAAGTTTTCGTCGAGGGCCAGCAGCGCCCCGTGCACCCCGCTCTCAACGAGGTTGTTCGCGTACTCGCGAAGCCCGATGGACTGGATCCAGTGGATGACCTGGTCGTTGGTCCACACCAACACGTCTGCAAAAGAGCAAGGCCATGTCCCAGGGCAGCTCAGACCGTGCTCGGGGTCATGTGGGGACCTGATGATGTCCTGGACCCTTGCCCCACAGCCCCAGGCTGATCCCAGGACAATTCTTCTTGGGCCAGCAGCAACACCACGTGCCCAAGTGCCAGCAACAGCTCGCTTCAATTTGCCAAACTGAACGTTGAAATAACAGGCAGAAAGCAACTGTGAAAATTAATCCTAAGAACCCAGGGTTGCTGGTTTAATTAGGGGCATTATCAATAATGAGTTGTAATCTAAGCAGCAGCCAGATGCATGGGAAATCTCAGGACAGCCAAAGGAGAAGGGGAGGCTGAGCAAGCTGGGGAGTGTCCTGAAAGGGGCAGAAGTTGACCCGAAGCTCGGGCTAGATCTTTCCTGTCTTGACAACCTTCCTCTTTCCTCGTGCCTGACCAGGGTGAGCTGCTTAAAGGTACTTGGAGCAATCTGTTGGGGAACACTGCAAGGAAGTTCCCCACGGAGAACAGCCCTACGGGCATGGGCATTGCTCAGAAATACCAATTCTCCCTTGGCAAGTGCTGTGATAAAAATACAGGAGAGGGATCATTGCTGGGCATCTCTGGAGGTTTCCCATCAATCCTCCCAGAGCTGGGGGGTGTACGTGGCTGCTGACCTTTGATTTCGTGCTGGGTCTCTTCTCGCCTCCTCTCGAGCTCTTTGCGGTCGTAGTTGAGCCTCTTCAGGCACATGATGCCGTACTGCAGGCTGGTGCTGCAAGGACACAAGACACCACTCAGCCTTCAGGAGGGCTCAGAATCGCAGGGGCAGGCACCTTGGAGGGACCCTGCAGAGGGACCCCCCTCCCCACCCGTTTTCCATGTGCCCAAAGGATGCTTCGGTGCAGCACTGGGTCCTCACCGACACAGCTCAAAGGGAAAATCTTGGCCAGAACCTGGGGAACATCCCTCCCTTTCATCGTAATCCCTCATTCCATCGGTTTTGCCCTGTTCTACCTGTCTGAGAGCACCTCGATACAAGCAATGATACTTGGGGGCTGGGGAGAGAAGGGACAACCTGCCCATGGGGGCTGCTCCAGCCTGAAGGGTCCTGGCAGCCCCCATGGACACAGGGTGGAGATCAGATGGGATGAGCCCTTTTCTTTTTTTTTTTTTTTTTATGTCTGTGGTTTGTTCCACAGCCAGAAGAAAGCTTGCTGCTCTCCAGTTTTGCTGAAGGAGCTATTTTGCCCACACCAGCTGTGCCAGGTGCCATCCTTCAGCACTGAGCTTGCCTGAAACAGGGAGAAATCACTCCAATTCCCCCATCCTCTGCTCCACGTGCACCCCAAGGGCCTCCCAAAGGAGGGCACTCACCGGTGGAAGCTGTCCACCATCTTCAGGTGCACTCTGAGATCTTTCTTGGTGAGGTGGTCCAGCATCCGTGCATCGACGAGACACTCCATGAAGTAGCTGCGATACTGCGGGAGGCCCAGGCTGGGCAGCCACTCGTTCCCAATCCACTCATGGTTCATGTCCCCATAGGCCAGCGTCTGTGAAAGCGAAGGGACAGACTAGGGAGAAACCAGGGCTTGGTAGAGCTGCAGACAATCCCAGGAGAGCGGTGACAGGTCGGTGCTGCAGCCTGGGGGTCACTGTCCTGAGGACTAAACGTGGGCCAGGGGAGATGAACCCTAATTTGGACTGAAGGAGCTGGAGGGAACAGTCCTGTTGGCCATGGTCCTTGTCCTGATGGTGCCCCAAAGAGACAGGGCAGCAGCCAAGAGGCAAGCACAAGGGATTTCCTGACCAACTTCTTCTGGAAAAAGCACATTCAGGAAAGTTGAAACAACTAAGTAGGAAATATAGTTTGTTGCTTTCCCAACTGATTTTTAGAAATCGCCAGACTTTCTGTTTTATGATTTCAAAATGATAAAAGGTTGGTTTGGGGCAGCAAAACCCCACCCGGGGTGGCTGGTCAGTCTTGGGTGGGGATTTTTAACACCAGAACTGCGTCTTACAGAGGATGGCCCAGGAAAAAAGTCACAGCTTGAAGGAGAGAAGGGCCCTGCTTGGTGGGAGGTCCCAGGAGGACTGTCCCATGCCCAAGAGGTGGCTCAGAGGAGTAACCACCAGGTGCAGGCTCAGCTCCAAGCAGGACTTGCTGAATACCATTGCCCCAAGCTCACTCCCTGGGTGCCCCGTGGTGTCCGTCTCTCCCTCCCATGCCCACCCCACCAAAAAAAAAGTGCAATGGGGACCTCACCTGTGCCCAGCTGCCTTCCTCTGTGTCCTAAGCATGCCACACGCAGCATGTCAACAGAAAGGACAGGTAAAGTCAGTTCCCGGTGGTGCAGTGCTGTGACAGTGCAGGGGACCCTTGGCACTGCGTGACCCAGATGGGCCTGGGGGGCTCAGCCTTGCCAGCAGGGTGCTGGGGACCACCCAGCCCCATGGGGCCCAAACTTCACCCCAGCTCTCAAGCAAGCAAGGAGGATGTGGGATGGGGCTTTATCTACAGGTCTTGGGCTGGAGGTGGCACAGACCTGGGGCTCATACGTCTGTCCTGGGTAACGCGGGTAACTCCTGGGTCACCCAAAGACAGATGCAGAGAAATCTAAGCTTCAGCTCATGGATCACAAGCTCCCAGAGGGGCTGCCTAACCCAATCTGCCCATTTCGCAGCTGCTTTTCCTTGTCACCTTGAACTAGTTTCTCTCAAATGTGCAAAACCTGCGAGGGAAAGTGCCATAACCCCTGCTGTACCCCCGAGCTCGCTGTCCCCAAAAGGCACCTGCCAGTTACAAGCTCTGTGGTTCCCAGGCGGTGGGCATGAGCTTCAACAAAATGCCTCATTCACACAACAGAGCCAAAATGCTGCCCCTGCTCTGAGACGTGAACATGGGGTCGTGAAGTTGCAGAGAGGGGAGCAGAGATTCTTCTCTCCAAAGGGCCCAGAGATTTTGGGAGCACGGCCACATCCCCCTGAGGGACCCCAAGCTACCAGCCAGTGGTAGGGACAGACAGAGGGGACAATATCTGGGCGCACTAAAGTCAAGGGAGGTTAGACGGCGACTTCTCTGGGCACAGGCTGACCAGTGTGGGTCTCAGTCCCATGCATCTGTCTGAGATCATCCTCGTTTTTGTCTTTACTTTCTGTCTAACTCACAACCGACGGACGAGCTGTGCTGGAAACCCGGCACAACCCGCGGGGGCTTGACAAAGGCAAATGCATCTGACGGTTTTTAAGCCAGCTTTAGAAATTGTTGGGATATTAAAGGCTGAAAGACGGTTTCTAGACAGGTGCAATGCGCTGGCCACGAGCTGACACATGAGACACAGCCAAGATCCCCTTCCCTCCTGGGGTTTGGCACGTTAATGCACGCCCGGAGCTCACTCAGCGCGGTAACCGATACGGCACGGCGGCAGCGGGGCGCCCAGCCTCACCGTCTTGGTGGACGTGGCCATGTTCTCCATCTCCTCGTGGGTGACCCAGACGTTTCCAGAGGACTGGAGGAGAAAAAGGGCAGAATGGTCAGGGTGACCCACTGTGGATGATGGAAATGAGCCTGGCTCGAGATGAAGGAGGACCAGCCCACCCTCACGCCTGGGATGGCACCAGGGGGCACGTTGCAGCATCCCTGCATCCTCCTGGGCTGGTGGCACCTTTCTTTTTGCTGTCCATACTCCTACAGACATGTCTTGACTGAGTGGAGCACCATTAACCCCTCAGGGGCTTTAGGGACCAGCACAAGACATGATCCTGCCGTCTGCTCCCTGTTCTACCCAGAGCAAGGCTGGGATCTGCAGCTACTCTGACTTGCCCCAGGAATTTTCAGATGGTCTCGGGACAAATTTTGTGTTGAAATGACTGAAAAAATGACTGTGCACAACCCAGCTGGCCCTGCAGTTCAAACTGTCACCCCATCCACAGCCTGCGCCGAGTGCTAGAGAACCCCTTCTTGCTGCACGTGCCTGCAGTACTGGGACACCCTGGGGAACAATGAGCCACAAAGCTTCCAAGGAGCCAGGGAAAGGGGAAAAGCAGCCGTGGGATGGGGCACTTACTGTCCGTGAGGTGGGAGGTGCCGAGGGGCTCGTGAGCGAAACCATCTCCTGGATGGCCAGGCGCAGCTTCAGGCGGTGCAGCGCGTTGCTGATGCCGATCTCCCTCTGGATCTCGGTGTCGGACAGGGCTGACATGATGGCTCCGCTCTTCACGTTGGCTCGGCAAGCGGCGACGTACCAGGCTGGCATTCCCACCCAGAGCTGCCAAAACAGGGCAAAGCTGGTGACTGCCCAGGGCACGGGCGTTCATTTCCTCTGGCAGGGCTCTAGGACGCCCTGTTTAAACTCAGTGTCAAAGCTGGGTACCCACGGGGGGGCTCCTTTTTTGTTCGGACCTTGCACAGATGGCTTGCAGGCTTGCTGTATCTCATGGAGACAGCACAGGGGAAGAACACCCATGGAGCCTTTCAACTCCGGGCCTAAGAACACCCCAAAAAGCAACCCTGCAGACCACAAGAGATCTGGGGATCTGCTCTGCTCCCCCAGCTCCACTCACTTGGACCCACAAACGGCTCCACGACCGCTCCTTTGCCACCTCCCTACTAAACGAGGGAGGAAAGAAAACATCTCCGTGCCTCAGGAAGCGGTCCCTACTGCTACTGTCCCCAAACACCCATTCTGTAGGGCACGTTGAGGGGCTCAGGGCTTTGCCAGGCGAAGGAGTTGCCGAGCGTGAGCTGTTTTACAATGGCCACGACGTGCATGGACTGAGCACAGTGGGACTGTGGGGTGCTGTACCCCTGCCAGGGGAGCACACCACAAACCAGCAGCAACTGCAAAGCCATCGGTGTGTGGGGACGATGCGCGGATGTGCTCTGCCTCACCTCCAGCCAGGAGACAACAGTGGGGCCATCCCAGTGGGCAAAGGGCAATCCTTTCCTCCGAGCCTCTTCCAGGAGTTCGTGCCTGGTGGGAACGGAAGCAGAAGAGTGGTTTATTGGGAGTCTGGGGAGAAGGGAACAGCTCTCGAAGGGGAAGAGAGTGCAGGCAGCAAGAATCAGCTGGCAGCAAAGCAATAAAGGAGCTCATAGGGCTCATGAGAGCGTGAAGGCAAGAAGTCTTTTCAGTGATTCCCAGTCCTGTGTCGTGGCTGAGCAGCCACCAGGCAGGACATTTTCTTGCTGGGGCACAGAAGCAGGTTCACTCACTTTTTCCGCAGGCGACGATCCTTCTCAGCCTGAGCACCCAGCTTGCCGAGGCCCAGAGGGTCCTGGATGCCCACCTCGGTGTCGGTCAGCAGCACTGTTGGGCAAAACACCCGTGGGTCAGCGCGATGTCCCCAGTGTCAGCAAGATGTCCCCAGGGTCGGTCTGACAACCCCCAGGGAACTCCATGGGTCCTCGCACTGAGGTGTCGGGGATGTGCCACCACAGCACAGATTTTCAACCCACCCTCATAGCCTCCCACCAAAGGGCTGTGCAAAATCAGGGAGGTGCCACAGGGCGAGAAAGAGATTTGGGCCATGCTTAGGCCCGAAAGGTCCATGGGGCTGACAGCACCCGAATCTGACTGCCCTGAAGCTGCAGGCAGCCCAAGGCCGGTGGCTCCAACGTCCCCAGGGGTGCCCAGCAGGGGTGTCCCCGCTCCTCTGGGGTTACAACCCCAAAAACAGACAGTGCCAGGGGGCATGCAGAGAGCCCGGCCCGAGAGAACGCCCGCCCGGCCCGCCCGGCCCGCCCGGGAGCGGAGCTGCTCACAGACCCTGCCCTGTGGCCCCTTCTCTGCTCAGCTGGATCAAGCGGCCCTTCTCTTTTTTCCCAAACAAGCGCCCGATGGAAGATTTGATCCCCTTCCTCTTGGAGCCCTTGTGCAAGGAGTCCTGGCTGCTGTTGCTGCTGGGGTTGCTGGCCTGCTCTTCCAGGGAGCTGGGGATGGAGGAGGGAGAGGAACAGCAAAGCCTGAGGTTATTCCAAGCCACAGCAAACCCCGGCCCATCCCACAGCCCCAAATTTCCCCTCCACAAAGCCTCCAACGAGTGGTTTGAGAGCCAACGGGTGCTCCACTCACCTCTTCCCGTCCTCCTGACTCAGCGCGGGGTGGCCCAGCTTCTCCAGCCGCAACGTCCTGGGCGAGGACGGGGGGGAAGTCTCGCATTTGATGGTGGTTTTGTCCTCTCGGCTTTCATCCCGAGCTGCGGGTGACTGAACAAGCACAGGAGCCATGAGGTTGGGCGGCTCCGGCTCCATCCTTGTCCTGCTGCCTGCCCCAGAACCTACCCCTCTTGCTCCATGGAGGCATGGCCCAAAGAGCCACCGGGGCCCCGAGGCCACGCTCCAGGATCAGCCCGGAGCAGAGCCCTGGTGGTGGCTCGAGGTGCCCAGGCAGATGGGAAGGACACAGCCGTAGGGCCAAGATCCTGGGAAGGAAGGAACTGGGGAGGAGAAAGGAGGCAGCCCCATGGTCCAGGTCAGGGTGTGGGGACTGAAGCTGCTGTTTCAGCAGAGGGCTCTGAGGAGGACAGATGGGAATGTCCCAAATACGCCCTGTCCCCAGAAGGGACGCTCAATGTTTGAGGACCCTCCCCACGTCCTGCCAGAGCCCCGGGCTGCCAGCCGGCATGTCTCCAAGCACCTTATGGGATCCCCCTGATCCTCCTGCTGAATCCCTGGGGTCCCCAGCTCCATCCCACGCCTGGTGCACCCTGACCTGGTGTGGACAAAGCCAGGAGCAGGCTGGAAAAGGGGCTTGGACAAAACCCAGCAGGGTGGGAGCCACTCACTAGCAGTTTCCTCCGGTGCTTCCTCAAGTCACTGGGCTGATTGCAAGGGAGAATGCGAGAGAGACACAGAAAGGGAGGCAGTTAATGGAGAAACCCCTCAGCAAACACGGGCATCCCGTTCCACATCACGCAGCCGTACCGGACACTGGGGGGGCAGCCACATGCACCCCCCCTCCCCAGGCTCCCACCTGCCCCAAGCGCCTCCTCACCAGCGTCATGATCCCCATGCGGTCGAGGTCCTGAGCGGCGCTTCGGGAGGTCAGCTTTGGGGTGGAGCGGCCACTGAGCGGTGGGGACGAGCTGGCCAGGGACAGGGCCGTCAGCGAGGTGGGGATGGAGGCCCTCTTGCACAGCTGGGTGAGGTTGAGGCCCTCCATGCTGCCGCTGGTCACGCGCGTCTCCAGCTCCTCCGCACGGAGCTCGGTGGACTCCTTCTCCTCTTGGATCATCCTGGTGGAGGAGTGGGGTCAGAGCTCAGGGCTCCCCAGATTTTTATTTTTTTGGGGGGGGATCCTGGCCATCTGGTAGCTCCCAGCCATGGGATTGAGCTGTGCTAGGGAACTGCAGCCCCGGTGCTGTGACTTGAGCTCCCTGTCTCCAGGAATGGCAGCCAGAGCCATCAGAATCCACACAAACCATGGGTGAGAGGTGTCCCAATTCCTTTCAGAATTTATGGGGATTTTTATATATATATTTTTAAATAAAGATCCTTTCTGTAAGCCCACACCGGTACTTCCAAAGGACACAGATCCCCATGTAGAAAGGACCAAGCCCTGTGGCTAAATATCCTCGAGCCATTTCCCTGGCTGAATCTGGACCAGGACATCAATTTTTGGGCATCAAAGCCTCGTCCCACTGCTCGGTGCTTTGTGCCACCCCCTGGAGCCATTTCAGAGCTAGGTGGTGCTGGGTTTTGGCCGTGGCCACTACCTGATCTCCTCGTTGATGGCATCCAGCTGCTCCTGGAGCATCATAGCCAAGGTCTGAGCATCCGAGTGCCCACCAGGGGAGAGCACGTCCATGGAGCTGAAGAGCGTCTCACGGTCATCCTCATCCACGTCGGAGATCTCAGGGTCGCTGTCGAAGGCGTGAGGCCCCGTGGCCAGGACGCTGCCTGCCTGGGCTTGCTCCCAGTCCTGGGGGGAACAAGGTCCACTGGTCCCACCTGGCACCCCCAGGTCTCCAAAAGCCAAACTGGAGGCCTCGAGCATCAGTCGCGCTTCAACGCAACCCCAGCGGGAAGCCCTTCTTGTCACGTTACCCCCATGCCCAGTGAATGAAACCACCCCACATCCCCAAATCAAGGACATGTGAAACCAGCGTGCAGGGCAGGAGGAGACCCCAACCCCGACCCCGACCCCAGCCCTGGCCCCGTGCTGGCAGAACGCTGGGTTACCTTGGCCGGCTCCTCTCGCCGGGCGGCAAATCGCCCTTTCTGTGCCCGAGGCAGGCCTGGGGCCGTCCCAAAGGGCTCAGCGGGGGCATGGACCACAGCGCTGAGTGGGAAGCGCAGGTCCGTGGCACTGCCCATGTGGGACCTGGGGAGAGAGAGCTCTGCTGTGGACACGGCCTGTGCAAGGATGCTCCCCTGTGGCTCCCCTCATGGCCCAGACTCGCTCTGGTACCCACAGAACATCCAGCCAGTTTTGGCCCAAACCAGAGGGTTTGGGGGCTGCACAGTCCCCTCCTGTCCTCCCCTCTCCAGCACAGCTTCCCCTCCTGTACACGTATGGCACCAGAGTCCTTTTGTGCCTGTTCTCCCCATCCCCATGATGGGGGCCAGACACGGAGCTTTTCTTCTGTTTATGTTTTCTTCAGTATTTCCATGAAAAAATCCCTGATGAACAAAATCCCATTTGAAGCAGATCTTCCAAGGTGCAGGGACATGAGCATTGGGATCTCCCATCGGAAACCAGATGGGACTTCTTTCTTCTCCTCCTCCAGGCTTGTGCCGGTGCTCAGGAACACAGAAATGCGTCAGCTGCAGCTGGACACGAGGCCATTTTTTGTTATTTTGATGCTCACTGCACGTCTCCATGTCACCCGATCACACCTCCTCACCCCAAAGACCCATCCCTGCGGCTGAGCAAAACATCATCCCAAAGAACAGGGTCATTCCTCACCATACACATTGCAATAGGAGGCACGAGGGCTTGATTTAGGATGACAGAAGCATTTGTCCAGAGAAATCAGCAGATTTTCCACCACGGTGGGGTCTGGTTTCCAGCGGAGGCATAGATCTGGGCTCCCCACCCCCAGCATCCTGCCGAGCCCAGACAAAATCACTCACACGAGCAGCTCGGCTTGGTGTCAGCTCAGTGCTTGCAGACGAAGGCACAGCCCAAGTTTCAAGAGGATTTAAGCCGTGGAGCTGCTGACAAGCTGCTCCTGAGCTAAAAACAGATAAAGGTGCCTTAGACAAAAGCTGACATTTCAACTGGGGGATTATTCTGGCCTCTGTAACTCAAGCTTTCTGCTGAATTGTCCTTCAAGAAATGAAAGAAAACATAAAGATTGCCTGTCTGGTTCTTGCAGACCCACACGAACAGGTCCCACACACGCTGCAGACCCTCCTCTGGCACGCAGCTGTCCTTCAGCCTCACTTCATCCCCGTTTCTTCCTTCCAATGTGGGCACGGGGCCTCCAGGCCCTTTCCTCTTTGCTGCCAACAGCTTCGAAGCTCAGTCGCTAGCTCCTTCCCTTCTTTTCCATCCTCCCAGGGCAGTGAGGTTTTGCAGCTGGTGGTCACTCCCAGCAATTTCTTGCCGCACCGAGCCCAGGTTGCGAGGGCTCAGGCGAGGACGTGGGCTCCCAGGTGGCCACAGCAGTGTGGTGGGGTGCACGGCGCCTCAGCACCCTCCTTCCCTTCCCTCCTGGGGCTGTTCCTGGATTCTTGAGGCCGTGCTGGTTCCCCTGGCTGGTGCCAGAGGCTGAGACCTGCCGGACTCACCTCACCTCCTGCAGCACTGGGCTGGGATCCCCCCAGTCTCTGCACTTCTGGCCACCACAGAAACAGCTTCCTCCTTCCTCACCAGCCCATCCCAGCACATCGGGGGAGGAAAGGTGGATGGTGAACAGGGATAGATTTCACAGGGACTAAAAATGAGCCAAAATGGAGAAAATGCTGCACAGTCTGCAGCGCCTCGAGCTGGGCAGCGAGGATGGAACGAGGTAAAGCCACCCCAGGGTGAAGGAGCTGAGAGAGAGGTTGCACAAGCCCCGAGCCCTTTGTGCAGAAAAAGAAACAATGCCCAGTGGATTTTGTTTTGTTTTGTTTTGTTTTGTCATTGGAGAGTGAATCTGGGGCCGTTTGGTGAGGCTGGGCTGTTCTCAACAGTCTGTGCCTCACCCCAGGACAGATCTGCTGCCAGAGCTGACCCTGCTGTGATGAACTGAGGCTTGGTGAGACCAAAATGCCCAGCACCAACAGCATTTTGGGGCCCTAAAAACCAAAACGCCCTGAAGACATGGGTGTGGGATGAGAGCGGGGCGTGCACTGGCCGGCAGGGTTTTGGCAGGAGGCTCTCACCTCGTGTGCACGCTCTCCACGAACGTCCCGCTCCTGGTTTTGAGCTGATCGACCTCCAGCCGCAGTTTGTCGATCTCGTCTGACAGCCGGCGCTGTTCAGGGCAAGAGAAGAGATGGGCAGGGGTTGGTTTTGTCCCGAAGAGCACAAAGAGACAGGTTTGGGGCAAACCAAGCAATTTCCAGGTTTACATTCCCTTTACAAGCCCCCGTCCCAGCTTCAAAGCACCAGGAGAAGAAACAGCTCATGCAGGCGATAGTGAATGACAGCGCTGGGGTGATGCCAGGGTGATGCTGAGAGGGGAGGGAGCGACCCCAGGGCACACAGACACACACACACGTGCTCGAACCAAGGCTGCTTTGGGAGATGAAGGAGAGCCAGTCCCACCAGGATGCTCTGGCTTTGCTCCAAGGTGCACGTGCACATTCACCACTGCAAAGGGCTGGCAGCGTGGGACTCGCCAGCCAGATTTGATGCTGGGTCTGTCCCCCCCCCTGCTGCCACCCCAAGACCAGGACCACTACGTGGCCGTGCTGCCCTGCGGGAGATGCTGTGGGTGGGGAGGGAGGCAGAGGGATGGGATCCTCCAGGCACAGCAGGATCCCATCCCGTGGGCTGAACTGGGGTGGGCAGCATGCGGGCAGCATCACGCAGGTCTCCGGGCTCTGCCTCTGCCCGGACCTGAGCATCCGTGGCCGGGGAGTGCAAGCAGTGCCTGCAAACCCTCACAGCAGGCAGGGAGCATCTCGGAGAGCTGCAAGCGAGGGGAAAAGCAGCCCCCCCAGACCCTCCTGGCATGCACAGGACGTGGGGCACATCCCTGAAGCTCCCGTTGCTTCAAAAAGCTGGAGCCCTCCAGTGAGGTGGGTGGCAGCTTCCATCCAGCCCCTGCATGGGTTAGTTTGTGGCCTCCTGCTGCTGGGTGCTTTGGGGTCCCAGCTCCTCCAAAACTTTTTAGGGTATTTTAGGTGGCAGGACTGCCACTAGTCAGGGGTTAGGAGGTGCAGTCACTAGGGCAGGCTCCCTGTCGCGGCATTTACCTTGTCGTGCTGGTGTTCCTCTATCTGCTTTTGGGTATTTTCCAGCTCTTGTAACAATGTGTTCTTTGAAAAATTCAAAAGAAAAGGGAACACAAACGGGAAAGAAAGAGAGAGAGCATTGAGGAGACGGCTGCGTGGCCTCGTGGGGACGGCCAGCGTGGAACTGCAGCGGGGACAGCGGGACCGACACGGGGCAGGACGGGTGGTGGTGGCTCCCAGCCACGTTTTGGTTTTTGATTTGGGAAGCCAAAGAGCAGGATTTTTGCCCAAGGACGACCTGGATGTGGTGTGTGCCAGCATCGGCAGCAGGCTGGGGAAGGCAGCGCTTCTCCACGAGGCTCTGCTCCCCGTTTGCTGCTGGCTGGGATGGGAATTTGGAACCAGTCCCACCCGTGAGTTCCTGTTCTGTACCCAGAGCTGGCTGAACACACGCTGGCACTGCCAGGTCTGCCTGGGGACAGGAGGTTCAGAGCAGCAAGGACACAAACCCAGTCCTGGAGGCATCAACCAGGGGTGCACCTCCCTCTGCACCCCGATTTCTTATGGGGAGCACGGTCCCTGCAGGAACCCAGAGGGTTTCACGGCAGCACATGGAGGGTTTGGGGACGAACGCTGCATTTTCTCCTGCAAAATGCAGTGGGGTTTCGCTCCGGCTGCAGGTGCAGACACAGGGAAGGAAGGGAACGGAGCAGGACAAATCCTGCCGCTGTCAGAGGCGGCTCGGTGGGGAGCGGGTCCTGCCGGGTGGGGGCTGGCAGGAGGTGAGGGCGCGATGCTGAGCCCCCCACCAGCCCTGGCACCCGGCTGGCATCCCATACGGGGTCATTTCTCCATCCCTGCATGGGCACTTCCAAAATCCTGCGCTGCAGCTGGCGGAGGGTCCGTGTCAGGGCTGCTGCAGGTCCCTCACCCCCCAAACACCTCCCTCCCAAAGCCTGCCCCTAGCCGATACCTTCTCCTCCAAGGCTGCCATCCTCTCCTTGAGGTGCAGCTGCAGCCGCTCGTTCGACTCGCTCAGCAGCCGGTCCACGGTGTCCGAGAGCCGCTTGTTGTGCTCCTCGTTCATCTTCTCCCGCTGGCGGGCCTGCAAAGGCAAACAGCAGCCGGCCACGTCAGATCCAGTGGCTCTGCTCCTCTCGCCGTGAGGAGCTCTGTGCTGTGTCCAGGCTCCCACTGTCACAGCAAGGGGGAGCTGAGGCCAGATCAGGACCCTCGAGGTCTCCCCCACCTGGGCTGAGCAGCACTTACCCTGGCCAGCTCCTGATTCTTCTCTTCCAGCTGGCTCTCCAGCTGCCGCAGGTGCTCCTCGATGCTCCCATGCCTCTCTTCTGCCTGGGAAAAGCAGAGCAGCCCTCTCGGATGGCGCTCCCCAAAACCACATGGGCCCTCCCGCATCCTTCCCTCCATCCCTGCATCCCACATCCTTCCTGCTGCCTGCATCCCTGGGCAAGCCTTGAAACAACTGCTAGAGAAGGGATCAGAGATGGAGGTGCTCCACAAGCAACTGGGCACCTGGAAAAGGCAGGGCTGGCCACATCCACACCCCCACCCAAGCCTGCACCCTCCCAGATCCAGCCTGGGTCCTTCCTCCTCCTCCTCCTCCTCCAGGGCCCCCTGGCCCCTCCACCCCATGCACCCCACACACTTGCCTTGCTGAGCGCTGCGATGCGCTGGGCCAGCTCCGCTTCCACCTCGGGCAGCGTCTCTGCTTTCCGCATCGTCTGCTGCAGCTTCTGCTCCGCCAGCTCCAGCAGCTCCTGCAGGTGCCGGGCTTTCTCCTCGCACTGCGGGACAGGGCAGGACGTGACTCCTGGCACCCACCTCCTCTCCCCAGCACCCGCTTCTCCCTCCTGGGTCCCCGGGGTGGTGGGAGCCTTTGGGTCCCGCTCCGGTACCTGGCGGTGCAGGGACTCCTTGTTGGCCAGTTCGCTTTCCAGCTTGTCGTTGAGGTCGTGGATGGAGGTAGCTTCTCGCTGGGCTGCTAGGTAGCGTTTCTCCAGCGTGGTGATCCTCTCTTCCATGTCCTCCTTCTGAGCCAGAGCCTGGGGAAGCGATGGGGCTGTCACACCCTGAGCCCGTGGCCAGCAATTTGGGAACAACTGGGCCATAAGGATTCTCTGAGCCTGGGGCATCCCTGAGCCTAAGCATGCAACTAAAGCCCCGCTTTGCACAAAAATATGGAGAGGACAAGAAAGGGACAGTCAGGTAATCCCAGAAAATGTCCTGGCACGGACACAGCTCACTGCCTGGGGGTATCTCAGAGTCTGCTTATCACAGAATCACAGAACTGGCATTATAACCTCAGGGTAGTCCTGCTGACGGATGTGGGGACAACCCCCGAAGGCAGGGTTTTTGGGGGGAACACCGCCCTTCTCCCTCCTTTCCCATGCGTACAAAAGGGGTTACAAACTCCTTCCCAGCACAGAGCACATGGAAGCAGCAGTGAGCAGAGGGGGCAGCGCCTAACCTCTCGGAGGTCCCGCTGGTACTTGCTGCTCATCTCCTCTGACTTGATCAGATCCTTCCTGGCGGTGCCCAGATCCTCCTCCAGCTCCGCGACGCTGGCAGCCAGGGCGGAGATGCGCTCCTTGGCTTGGACCACTTCGAAATTCTGCTTCTCCAGGAGCTCCTGCAGCTCCACCACCCGCCCTGCCTCGTCGTCAGGGTGAACGGAGCCGTTGGAGAGCCGCTGCAAGGCACCGGAGAGGGAGGTGGGTGCCCGGCTGCCCCACAACGCACAGCTATGGGGTGGGTGAGTGGGGCAGGGGGCTCTGGGACCCCCGGGAACAGTCCCCATAAGCAGGGATGTGGCATCTCGCAGGCACAGCGGGATGGGGTTAGCTAAGGGCTGAGTCCCTGGGTGTGCAGAACACCTTTGGGAAGCTGAGCCCCTAGAAGCATCCAGGCGGGAGCACAAATTCCCCCGTGCTGGAAAACGGCTTGTATCCAAAGGGCATTTCCCAGGGGTAGAGGGCCAGGGGAGGGCAAAAAGCATTCAGCACCCCAGAGCCTGCAACAAGGGGGTTAGAGAAACCACAGCCTTGGTGAGCGTGGTCAGAGCAGGCATTTTTGGGGCTCTCACCTTCCAGGGAAGCTTCTGCGCCGGCTCCTTGGGCTCCCTCTCATCCCGCTCGCCTGCTGGGGCCTCCCGCGTGGCGCCTTGCTGCAGAGCTGCCACCTGCACACCAACAGGGATTAATTAATAACAAAGAGGTAATTAAACCAGCTGGCCTGGCTACGAGTGAGGCCGGCCCCAGCACACCCAGCTTTGCATCTGGCTCCCCACTGGCTTCTTCCAGCCTCTGCTTAGGGCTGAGGGGGTACAGGAGACAGAGGGTGAAGGAAGAGTTCACCAAATTCAACCTGAATTCACAAATCTGGTGTAACTCCAAGCAGTCCCAGCACTGCAGTCGCCCCGGCAGGGGCCTAGGGTAGGCTGCCAAGCACCTCTTACCTGCCGATGGGCATCCACCAGCTGCTCCTCCAAGGTCGCCACTCGCTCTAAGGATGCTCGCAAGCGCTCCCTGACCTGCAGGTGGGCAAGAAAATGGGAAAGTCGGGTATTTATTTATTATGGTTAGTGTCCTGGAGCCAGGAGAACCCCTAACCCCTTTTATCTGTCTGCAGGCCATGTCTATGTGGATTCATGTCCAGGGCACAGACTCAGGGAGGCTCCAGCCCATCACTTGCGAGAGCAAAAGCGTTTTGGGGAGGCACAGCCAGGGCCAGTCTGAGTCCTGGAGGACGCCAGGACTAGCTTGGAGATGCTTTTTAGCACAGCAAGGAGATGCTCAAGGCAAACGACTCAGGAGAAACTCCACGTGCTGTAATGCGAGGACTGAACCAGGGTGCCAAACACCTGCACTCACCATCAGGGGAGCAACCGGGAGAAGCAAGGTCCCCATCCCCAACGGCCTCAAGCCCACAGAATCTGCTCCAGCCCCAGCGGTTCCCAGTATCTATTTGCTGAGTTCCCCAAACCCTCCTGCTGAGGCACCCCACGTCACCACGTCACGTAACGAACCAAAATGTCATCCAGCCCGAGGGAGGAGGCCAGGCTGTCCCGGCGAGGAGCGCTGGGAGAAGGTCTGCTCCGAGCAGGTGATGGGAGAGGCCCCAGCCGCCCCTCTCACCTTTTCATCTAGCGCCTTGTGATGCTCAAAGAGTGACTTGAGTGCCTTGAGCACCTCGACCTCACTGGAAACCCCAGACGGCGACTGGGCCTGACGCTTGACCACGGTCATCCTCAGGGACCGCTCATGCCTCGACACCAGGCACTCCAGGTGCTCCAGCAGGAGCTGCAAGAGGGCAAACGTCAGCTTCTTGTCACCCCAGGGGAATTTTCTGGGGAGGTTGGGGAGGTTTTTGCCGCTTACCCGGGTGTTGTTGCGCTCAGCTTTCAGCTCTGAGATCTCCTCCTCCCTCTCCAGGAGCTGCTCTCGGCACGCGCTGAGCTCCCGCGTCAGCGTGGCGAACTCCTGCGGAGAGCAGGGCACGGCCGTTAGCTGGGAGCATGGGATGGAGACGGGGCCAGCACCCTGAACCCACTGCCAGAACAGATCATTTCCTACCCCAACCCCTCCAGGGGGTGACAGGGACAGAGAGCAGCCAGCAGAGCGCACGGGCGAGCTGGGAGGCGATTTATTCCTTTAAACAAGCGAGGACCACGGCAGCATCCCGCTCTTTATCCACTTGGTTTGATGTCCGGTGACACAGGAAACTGCTCTCTGGCTCCAGAAGCGCTCGATGGCATTTAAAGCATTCCAGCCAAGGCCACCAGCACGTTCCCATCCCCTCCCATCCCCTCAAGGAGCACCCAGCTGGGAAATGTCCCACCAGGCTAAAAAATCAGCCAGCCACCCCCAAACCCCACGTCCCAGCCAAGACAGATGGGGCACGGGGGGGGAGAAGAATCCCAGTTGCTACCAGTCTGGCAGCTGCCTCCCAGGAGGTGACATCCAGCAAGAGCCACGCACCGAGGGATGGCACGGCAAAGGGACCCCCCTGAAACACAGCGACTGCATTTGTGGCTGTGGTGGAGCAGAAAGGAAACCTGCCATGAAGTTCCTAGGGTGCAGGAGGGTTCATTTTTTCTTAAAAAAAAATAAAAAAAGGAAACACGAGCACCTGGGTTAGCCCAGGAGCACTCTCCCACCGCTCCCAGTTGCTGTTCCAGTCACTGGTGTGTGCCAGGGCTGGGTGACATGGTGCAGCTGGGACTTTGTAGGGTGAAAAATGCAAATGAGGAAACGCTTCATGAATTTACACCCGCTTCACAGGGCTGTTGAGAAGAACTTAAAAAGGAAAAGGGCTGCAGAAGAAGCTGAGAAAGATTTGCTTGAGCATTAACAAAACAAATTTTGACTGGGAGCTGAGAGCGGTTTCACAGCGTGAAATCCTTCCACTTTAATTTCCCAGTTAAACAAATAAAAAAGCCTTCAAAGTGAGGCAAGGCGTTTGGATTTGAATCAAATGCTCTGCTCAGCTCAAAGGGAGACCTCTTGCACCAGCTGACGTCCCACCACGACACTCGGAGTGTTTCAATCTCTTTCTCCCAGCTACATTTTCCTCCTCCCTTCCCACACCGTGCCCTGGGCTGCTCGCAACGGCTTTTACCCAGGGCGATGGGGACGGTGGTGTCACCGGGGATGCTGAGACCCCACAGAGGGACGGGACCTATGTGTGGCAGTGGGGATGGAGGGAAAGAGCAAGCTGCAGTCAGGCTTGAGCAGCCGCCCTCCTGCCCAGTGCCCTCGCCCCGGCACCGCCGCAGCACCCCAGCCCCGTTCCTTCCCCATCGCTTCCCCAGGGGCTGCTCCAGCCCTGGCCTCATCCCCACCCCACAGAAGGCACACACGGCACCGACACCTCCCTCGCCAGCTCCTGCCATGCCCAGGCATTGTCTGGTGCTTGCTCTTGGCCCATCCCGAGCCCCCCGGATCGCAGAGACCCCCAGGAGATAGCGGTGCCCGGCCGAGGCTTCCCCGGAGCCGTGCTCTCCCGGCCCCTGGGGATTAGGGCTCGGCTCAGCGCAGCACACACACACCCGTGTGTGTGTGTGGCCGGGTTATGCAAGCTCTTGCATGCAAGAGAGAGCAGCTTGTGAGCATCCCCGTGGATTATGTAGGGCTGGGAAAGCCGGCGAGTGGGAAGGGGAGGAGCGAGAGGCACCCAGACGAGGTACCTGCGCACCGACGGCTGCTTTGGGTTTGGGGACAGGCAACCGGGCTCGTGGTGAGCAGCAAAAGCCTTCTTGCGGCTGGGAAGGTCCCAGGGATGTTTTCCTGCAGCCTGAGCTTTGGTAGGCGATGCTGCAGACTCTCCCCTAGCACTGGGGTAGGGACCCAGCGCATCCAAAGCCTCCAAATCCGGAGAGGCTGCAATCCAGAGGGGGAAGCAGGGCTGCGGAGCCAGACGCTCTCCCCACTGCAGCCCTTTGGAAACCCGCAGGCACGTGGGGTAGGAAGCCCAGCAGCATTAGAGACACTCAGCAAATTGCAAACTTAGGGTAGGAGGCAGCAGGGGTGGCCAGGGAAGACGGGTGCCACGATGGGGACAGAGCCAGCAGTGCCCTCCTCACCCCGCTCTGCCCCCCGGGGTGGTGAAGCTGTGCAGATTGCGGCTGCAATCAGGCTTTCATCCCAAAAGGCAAGGAGATTAAAAGAGAGAGAAAATCTGCGGGAGGGAGCAGCGCAGCCCCTGCCCTGGCCATTCTGATGCCACCCACGGGGCTGGGGCTCGAAGTGCGGTGGTGGCTCCGTCCCAGGCTGGTTGGGGCTCAGCACAGAGCTCCCAGCCTGGCCCCCTGCAAGTCGTCCCCTTGTCAGGGACCCCGCACACCAGCAAGGCTCCCAGGGCATCCCGAGAGACCGCAGTGACTGTCCTTCCTTGGGGAAAGGCTGCAAAAAAAATGAGCGTTTCCCACCAGAAATAGCAGCACCCCTGCGGCGAGATGGGACAGCAGGACACAACGGGGGGTAGCTGAGCTAGGGGGCACCTGCAGGCCTGATCTGGATGCCTTGGGAATAAAAAACAGGGACAATTCACTCCATCATCCACATGGATGGATGGCTTTGTCAGCCCTGAATGACACTGTGGGTGCTTCTGGGCTACCAGCGGGCACCGGGTGAGGTTGGGGATGGTGAGAACAAAATTCCCCAAGCCCCAGCTGCAGACAGAGGCACTCCTCACAGCTTCTACCCCAACCCGCAGGGGCGAAGCAGCAGCGAGGAGGACTCGGTGATATTCCTGTCCCCTGGCCACGGGCAGGCAGAGCTGCACACTGCATGCCCCTGGCTCCAGCAAGCGCTCAGGCTAAGCAGGGACACCTATAAACGGATTAGAAAGCGAAGCAGAGGTGCCTGATCTTCAATCAAATGGAGGATAATTAGAGACAGCGCTGAGAGCCCCCAGGAGCCCTGCGGGAAGCCCAGCAGCCTGGGAAGTGGCTAATTGGGATTAAAACCAAACCACCCAAAAAAGGGTGAGGGTGAGCGGCTGGGCTCGGCACCAAGCCCCGCACAGGAGGGACGTGGGGGGGATGGATGCTGATGCTGGTTTCACAGGAGGAGCCAGGAGGGAGCCAGGGAGCACTGCGAGGTGCATTGAGACGGGGAGCTGGGGCTTGGGGCTCTTGGTGCCAGGTTTGGGGTCTCCAGGCTGGAAAAAAGCCGCAGGGAGACCTCGGGGAGAGGTTGGGGAAGCTCAGTCCTATAGCAGGGGGAGATGGCTCAAAGCATGGAAAACTGAAACGTGAAAGCCCTGAGCCACCTTCTGCCCCTCTCCACACCGTCGAGATCTCACCAAAGTGAGCAAAAAACGTTTTGTGGCAGGAGCACGGCCACCGCTCCAGCGCACCCGAGCCTCAGGAAGGAGCTGGCTCCAGCTGTGTGATTAATGGCATTTCGAAGCCCCTAATTGGAGTGATTGCTCCTGACAGGCGAGGCTTGCCGCGGGAAGGCTGCCCGCCCGCACCTGGAAATCTGCTGCTGGCTCAGCGTGCGAGGGACGGAGCCCGTCCGTCTGTCCGTGCCGGGAGGAGACAGACCCCCCAGGAGGGGCACAGATCCCCAGGAAAGCCCTAAATCACCCCCGAGGGGCTGAACGCAGCCCCAGCAGCACGCAGCACGGCGTTAGGGAGGTTAAATCCTGCCTGGCACACCGGGGTTTCAGCCGTCACCCCCTGACGGTGCCGGGCACCGCGGTGCCATTTCCTGGCGCTCTCAGCCCAGCACCGTGGCTCTGCGGGGACCACCCGAGGTTGTGGGTGTCCTCCCCTCTCAGCGTGCAGGCAGGATGTGTTTCCACCCAGGATTACTCGGAGAGCTGTGCAGCTGAGCAAGGAGTAACCCAAACCCCAGGGCCCTGAGCTTGTAGGAGGGCGGCAGGCTCCAAGGGTTCAAAGCTCAGCTCCCTCCGTCCTTTCCCAAAACCTGAAGGTACGTTAAAGCCCTCACCCCACGGGTGTTTTCCCCCTGCTTGGAGCCTCTGGGGTTTGTGTTTTCGTGCTTCTTCTTTGCAGAAGGAATTCTAGATTCGCCTGTAAGTGAAAGGGGAGGAATTGGGGTGATGCCGGGATCCTGCCCACCTCCAGAGAGCTCAGGGGTCCTGGAGGCTCTGCCCTGGCTCTCAGCTCCCTGGGCAGCCCCAAAAAGCAGTGAGGGTCTGGAAGGAAGGATCGCAGCAGGTTCATATCAGCAGCCCTCTGTGCAGCAGCCTCTGTGAAATCGGGGAGCCCGTTCTCCCCCTGATGTAAACAGGGACCCCACAGGAGGAGCACATCTGGACGCATCTGGAGCCCTGCACACAGCATCCCTGGCTCGCACTACACCCAGTGGCCAAGCAGGAGGGAGCTGGCAGCCGTGCCAAGGCCCCGGGGTGCTGCTGAGGGCACCCACACCATGCCCAGGGCTTGGTCCTCGGTGCCAGGGCTCAGCCGCGCGCCCCCCGCGCAGCCGGGAGGGGAGAGGGATTGGAGCCGGGAGCTTTCAGCCCGATTAAGTCGCGTTCGGCGCTCCCACATGAATAAATAAATCATGTAAAGAAGCATTAAGGCAGCTTAGTCTCCCCGGGAAATCGCCCTGGAGTTCTGCCTTTTTTTGGGGGCTGAGGGATGCCCCCACAGATCAGGAGGGGGTGGCTCGGCCGTGCGGCACCGGGGAGGGGGACGGGAGCCACAGGCAGGAGCATCCCTGGAGCATCCCTGCCTGCCCCATCCATGGGTCTGCCCCACTGGGGGTCCCAGCAGCATCCAACTGCCCCAGTGCCCTGAAGGGATGCGCAGTGCCACCTCCCCTGGTCCCCGGCCACCCCAAGCCGTGCAATTTCTCCGTGCAGCCAGGGCCTGGCTCCTTGGAGGTGCTGCGAAAGGGCTGTCGGCCTCGGGGAGCACTGAGCCACGCCAAAAAAAAAGGGTTTCTTCAAGCAGACTGCTTCCCAATAGTAGGAAGGCCCACAAAAGAGGAGGAATGGGATGGGAGAGGCACACTGGAAGCCCCCCTTACCCCCAAGGGAAGCGCCCCGCCGCGTCCCCCTTACCTGGTACATGCACATGCTGGGGTTAGTCCCATTGGGCAGGCGAGCAGCGCCGCTGGGTTTGCTCCCCGTGTTCATGCCGAGCCCTCATCTCCCGCGAGGCCAGCCGTGCCCGGAGCCCCCCTGCCCGTGCGGGGTAAAGCCGGGCAGCGGGGGGCAGCGGGCGCCCGGGGCCGTTCCCCATGAGCTGCCCGCGCTCATCGCATCCCTCGCCGCGGGGCAGGGAGCCGCAGAGGGGCACCCGGGGGGCTGGCGGGCGCTGACCCAGTTTGCTCCGTCCGCACGCTGCCGTGCGTGGCACCGAGGACCCTTTATTGGAGCAGGAGCGGGGAATAAATCCGCACGGTCCCTTAATCCGGGGCGGGCGGCGCGCTCAGGGTGACCCGGCTTGCTCTCCGCAGCGAGCGCTGGAGGGAGCAGAGGGGACACGAGCCACCAGCACGCGGTGCCCGGCACTTGGGGAGGTCTTAGGGAAGCTCTGGGGACGTGGAGTAACCCATCTGTGGGGCTGCCTTGGAAAGAGCTGTTGGGTTTTTTGCTTTGGGCAGCCTGTGGAGAGCACGGAGAGCTCGGCTCCGAGCACAGGACCGGGGCTGCCTCCCTGCTGAGCTGCCTTCCCCTGTCTGGAGCAGAGGAGGGATGCTGAGAGCCGGCCGGCCACCATCCCGAGCTCTGCCCTGGCTTGTGCCACCCTTTTCAGCCCATCCATCGCCTCCTGGCTCCCTGGGGTGCCCCAAAGCCCAGCACCTGGTGTTTGAAGCCTCCTGCTCCCCTGGCTGGCTCTCCCCACATCACACCAACAACAGAGAGGTGGAGACACCCCAAATCCTGAGCCCCCCAAGGTGTGGGGTGCCGCACGCCACCCCGCAGGGCCCCACGAGGAAGGTGGGCAGCCGAGGCACCCCGTGCAGCCCTGCGATGCTGTTCCCCCCTCTCCTCTCCTGACCTGAGCATCTTTCCTCGCGGAGGCTGAGCTCGAGTCCAGGTCCCCGGAGTGCCTGCAGCGGGTCCTGCTGGTGGAGGAGCCGGGAGCGCGGCAACACCCGGCTCTGGGCAGAGCCAGGAACCCAACGGAGCCACAGCCAGCCCCGATTCCCCCGTGCCCTTGGCTGGCTCGCTCAGCACAGACCTCTGGCAGCCTCCCCGCGTGCTGCCCGTCTGCTCCAGCTCAGGGAACAGATGGGCTCGCCGCGATGCCTCCATCCCTGCTCGGCACCCAGCTCTGCCACCAGCGTTCCCAGAGAAAGTCCTGACACCTGAGCCCGCACCCCAGGGCGACGGGGCTATGGAAAGGAGCCCTGCCGGGGAGGGAAGGGGCCTCCAGCGGTGGGGAAGAGCTGTGGTTAGCAGCCCTGTTTGGGGGCTCTGTAAATGTCAGCGGGGATTCGTGAAAGCGAGGGCTGCCCTGAGTCCCACGGGGATGGCTGGGGGCAGACCCTTCCCCGCGCACTGCTTGGTGCCAGTGGGTGAGCGGGGGCTCCGCATCTGCCTCCATCACCTCAGGGTGTCCTCGGGGGGGTTTTGCCCCATTCCCCTGGGCAAGAGCAGAGATTACAGCTCCACGTTCCCTGTAAGGAGTCACGGACCAACGAGGGTACAGGGGAGAAGGTGAGGTGAGAGACCCCATGGGTTGTACTCTTGGCACGAGATGTACGACACCCGGCACCATCACCGCCACCCACCAAGTCAGTCCTCCCAAAATCCCGGGCTAAACCCAAGATCTGAGCACCCGATTGCCCTCACACACCTCAACACGGGCTCCTGCTCTCCCCGGGGCCATGTCCTTACCTGCGGGAGGGCAGAGTTGAGCTGCCTCTGGAGCTGGTCCCGCTCCCGGAGGGCCTCCTGCAAGCGGCTCTGGGTGACGGAGAGCGTCTCGCGGGTCTCCCGCAGGGTGTCCAGCAGCTTGTCCCTCTCATCCAGCATGTTCACCATCAGCTGCTCGAAGTCGGCATCCGCCTCGGAGCCCTGGGGGGGGCCCAGGGGGTCCCCCTCGCTGATGGTGGGCATCACCTCGCACATCATGGCGAGATGGGGCAGGCAGGAGAGGGTGCTGGAGGCGCCCGGCGGGGCGGGTGCTGGGGGCTCTCGAGCTGCAGGGCCCCGCTCACATCTCTATGGGCTCCCCACGCACCCAAGAAGCCAGCAAGGGAGAGGGCAACAGGGTGGTGAAGGTAGAGGGATGCCCCATCCCTTCTTAGGTGCCCACCGAGGGCTGTCGCAGGGACAAGGCGATGTCCTTGGCACCCACAAGGTCCTCGCGGTCTTAAATCCCCTTGCTCAGCTGCTCGGCACCGCTGGTGCCGTCGCGGCCCCTGGTGCTGCTGCTCTGATGCCTTTTTGGGGGGCTGGAGCATCCACGAGCCACGGGGACGCTCAGAGGGGGACGAGGTGGACCTTGGGGACACGTCGCAGCGGTGAGCTTGAGCTTGCAGCAGCGCAGGGAGGGCCTGGGGGATATTTGGGCTGCCCGAGCATGCTGAGGAGGAGTTGGATGAAGAGCGGTTCTTCTCCCGGAGGCGAGATGGCCCCAGCTGGTGCAGGAGGACGTCTCCGTTCGGTGCCGTGGCTCTTTAACCACAAAGCTGTGACCTGCAGGAGAGGGGACAGCGATCAGCTCCCTCCTGCTGCCCCCCCAAACCCACAGGGCACCCGCCCAGCACCCCGGGCTTTGCGAGTTTTGTAACTTTACGCCAGATGAAACACTTGAGACTCGGTCTGGATGTCCTTATCTCACCCCCTTTCAAACCAAAAGGTGTGCGTGGACAAAAAGGAAGAGCTGCACGCAGTTTGGGGCCAGAGCAGCCTGTTCTGGGCTTGGGAACGGGAAGAAAAGGCAGGAACCGAGCCGCCCAGCCGCGCGCAAAGGAGCACAAAGAGATGCTCTCGTGCACGCCCAGCCGTGCAGACACCCGCTGCCGAGGCCGGGGAGCCGTAGCTCCGTTCTTGGGATGACATTGGCTCATCAGCTGATGGGAAGTTCGACACAAAAACCCTCTAAAAATAGAGAAGCTCTGACAAAAGCAGCGGCCCCTCAGCGTGCATCCAGCGCACTGCGGGTTACGCTCCAAGCCAGCTCCCCGCGTGCCAGGACAGGGGCTGAGGCGTCCCGCAGGTGGCTCTGCCACCTCCTCGGCCTTTACAGATGTAAGGCAGGTTCCTCAGGTGGGATAAGACCTCTTATAGGGATGTGACGCTGCCCTGAACCCTCGAAGGGGTGACAGGGATGGCTGCGCACAGGACACCCCGTCCCTGCAGCATCCCGGCAAAACGGAGGCTGGGGGGGGACAGGCAGGGAGTGAGGCCCCCCCTGCAGCTCCTGCTCACCTTGGGTTGCGTTGGACACGAGCCCCATTCCCATAACTCCCAGAATTAAGCAGGGGAAATGTTTTCCAGCCCTCCTTCCCCCAGCTGGTGTCCCAGTGGCCCCCAGCAGGGCCACGCCGCCAGGTCCTTCTGCAGACGCTCCCGGGATTTGGGCCAAGAAGAGCAGAAATCAGCCTTACTCCCCAGCCAAACCCTATTACCTTGGGTGCAAAACCCAAACTAAGCGGCTTTCACACCCCCATCTCACTGCTGTGCCCCTGCTTGTGGGGGGAAAAGGGTGTCTGTGCCATGGAAAGCCCCAGCACAACGTGACCCCAATGGCAAAACCGTCCCCACGGCTCGTCCCCCTGCTGCCCTGGAGCATATTTGGGTGAAAATTTGGGTTAATTATATTATATTTGGGTTAAAATTTGGTGAATTAAGAGACATCAATCAAAGCACGGAGGGGAGAGCCCCGTGGGCAAAGCTTTGTGGGTGCTCAGGGAGGGGAAATGCTGCAGGGAATGACCGAGACATAAATCTGATGGGAGGGACGCCGGGATGGGAATTTATGGCAGCCGCAAAGGAGAGACTCGCCGACCACGAGGAGACTGAGACACTGCTCACGGGGGCTGCGGGGTCCCCCTGCACCTCCAGGAGGAAATCCAAGACCCGCACGATGCAGGAGGAGGCCCAGATTTACCCCAAAGGTTCCTTTTTCTCTTGCTTCCCCTGAGGCCGAGCACGTGTCCAGGTGTTTTTGGGGTACGGGTGAGCCCATGTGCTGCTTTGCTCCCTTGCAGGCTGCTCCTGTGTTCAGCTGCTCCCCATGACATCCACCACGCTAAGGAAGGGAGGCTGGGGGTGATGGGGACAGCCTGGACCCCTCTGCCTGGGGAGGGTGATAACGGGATGGGGGGACGCGGCGGCCCTTGGCTGCCGGGTGTCAGAGGGGTCCGAGCCTGCTCGGAAGCAGCAGCAAAACCCTGCCAGCAAAGCTCAACCTTTCGGCTGTATCTGCTCAACGTACATAAATGCTGCTGCCTGGGTTTAGAGGGCCTTATCTGATGGGATAATCATTGGGTAAAGGAGCGAGGCTGCGAGGAGACAGCTGGTGAGCCGAGAAAACAGACACTGCGCAGCTCGAGCCTTTTGCTGGGTATTTTTAGTCCCGCGGGGCTGCCAGGCGCAGACTTGCTGGAAGCGGGTTTGTTGCCAGTGCAAACGTACTTTCTTTACTATCCCTCCCCCCCCCCAAAAACGATGCTTTCCCCACTCTCTGGGATGGCAAAACAGCGCAGCCACGTCCCACCTACCCCCACTCGGAGAGGCTGGTTGGCGATGGCAGCGCCTGGGTGTGGAGCAGCTGATGGAGAGCAGGGCTTTTTTTCTTGCCCCTGGGTGGATTATTTGCTCAGCATGACCCTGTAGCGAGCCACGCTGCTGGTGGGATGCTTGGCACCCCCCCAGTGCCCCCCAGGGAACCAAGGATCGCCCCGGCTTTCCCTCTTACACCAGGCTGAGAAGCGCTCCCAGCACCTAGCCAGGCACAAATCCGCCTGCGCACCGAGGCGGGCGAGCTTGTGGTTTTTTCTCTGAACAGCCTCACTCTCATCTCAAAGGAAAGGAAAAAAAAAAAAAAAAAGCAACAAAAAAAACCCTTCATGGCTCTGTCAGCAAGATCATCACCCCAGCAGGCAGCTGGCAAAGAGGGTTTAACGCGCACCTCGGAGGCAACAAGCTTGCGGAGATTGATCATCCCATAAAAACGTCAGTTTGATCTTTTCTGCTCCTAGAAAATCCTCCCAGCCGCCCAGCCCGGCCTCAGAAGAGCAGCGTGGTGCAGCCCACACCAGCACCCACAGCTCCCAGTGCCCTGGGGCTTCCCCAGCCAAAAAGGGGGCTCCGCAGCCCCGACCCCTTCCCAGCCAGGCCTGGGAGGAGGAAGGAGGGCGATGCCCTTTTGCTGCAGGTTTTTCCTTGCAGCAGTTCTTTTTTATGACCTTTTTCCTGTGATGCTGCATTAAACGTGGTTACGGGGACGGGCAGTGAAAGGGAGGTATCCTGAGATTTTGGGCAAGGCCGTCCCCATCACTGCTCCTGCTGCTGGAGCTGTGTCCTGGCTCAAGGGCTGCCCACCCTGCTTGAAGCCGGGCACTGTTTTGGAGTAGCCAGGGCAGCTCGAGCCACTGATCCTCCCTGATGCTGAGTTCAGCCTGTGGCCAGGACAGCCAGGAATAACCAGGGAAATTGGTGGATTCTGGCTGGAAACAAGGTCCCACATCTGGCAGGCACTGGGATGAGGGGTGAGCGAAGGCTTTTTGCTGCATACGCGTGCAGAAGCCACCCGATGTCCCCATGCCTGCAGCACCGTGTCCTTCGCTCCCCTGGGGATGCAGCCCGACTCAGCCCTTGCTGGGGATGCAGCAGGACGGGATGCTTGGGCAGCATCTTCAGGGCTTGGACCCTGTCTCAGAGCTGGCAGGGAAGCATCGGGTGCCCCTAAAGCATCGAAGGATCCTGCGGACAATCAGAGGACTGCTGCTTCCAGCGTCTCACCTCAGTGCTTGCGCTTTTGCCCTGAAGGCTTGCTCCAAACCCAAAAAGCGGTTCCCATCCTCAGCCTTTGCTTGCTCCAAGCTGCTCAGTCAGCGGAGAAACGGGGAGGCAAAATGTCCAGATCTGGCTCTTTCTTTGCAGGGAGAAGTAAAGTGTTAGTATTCAGTCGATATTTATAGTTCCCTGTGGGAGGGGAGGCATTACACACAACTTCCAGCGGGTATTTTCAGAAAGCCACCTGCTCCTCGCCATTGTGCAGAGCCACAATTGTTCCGCAACAAAAAGCTCATCAGAGGATGAGCCGAAAGCTCCGCAGCACCCTGTGGGGCAGGCACGGGGTGCAGGGCACAGGAGACGAGCCCCCCAAGAGAGGCTGGCACCGCACCGTGCCCAGTCACAGGGACCGATGCGCAGGACACGGCACCTCCAGGAGAGCATCACCTCGGCCACGTTGTGGTTCCCGACTCGGCCTCTCTGTTTCTGGATGCAAAATGCTCTCTGTGTCCTCGCCTGACCCCAGAGAAAGGCAAAATCTCCCTCTGTTGGTAGGAGGAATGTGGCACGGGAAGGGACTGCTGGGGGAAAGCCACCAAGACCCAAACCTGTGTGCGCTGGGGTAGGATGAGAGATGGGAATGAACTGGAGTGGCTCCAAGCCGATCCAACAAGTGGGATCCCAACGCCTGGCCAAGAGCCTCAGCAAGCCCAGGCTCACCTCAAACTTCATCCTTGGCTCCACACCAGCCAAAAACCCAAACAAGGGGAGAGAGAACAGGGCTGACATTACTGCTACACCTGCGAGGACGCCGGCGTGGCCAGGAGCTCACATGGGAACCCAGCAAGCGGCGAGGCAAGGAGCATCGGCACTGCAATAAGCCCATGAGCTGGATTTCGCCCCGCTGCAGTCCTGCTGCTGAGGGGCTACCCAGAGCCAGCCAAATCCCCCAGACCCTGCTCCCACAAAAAAGCCACGGCGCTGGTTACGATCAGCTCCTCTTTCTGTTACCTGGTCTCACTGTCCCCACCGCCCCGCGTGCACGTGGCTGCGTCACCGTTTTTGAGTTTGAAGCCTTTGGGAGGACAAAGCTGGCTTCTCTCCGACTTCTGCCTCACTCAGGGTTAGTTTAAAGAAGCAGCAGGGGGGAAATGCAGTCCTACGTCTCCTCCAGAACCAGAATGCGGAGGTGAAGCAGCCCCTGGAAGCAGTGGGATCCCAGCAATCGAGCTGGGGGCCGTCCTCCTCGCTGCCAAACCAGCACCCACGCGTGCTAATTTATGCAGCGCCAGGGGAAGAGCCACCAGCACGAAGGGAGCTGCTGAAATCTGTGCCACGGCTGCAGCCAAGCCCTGAGAAAAGACAGAGGAGCCCCCTCACCCAGCCAGAGGCCAGGATCTGGTTAATGCTGGCAGCTGAGCTCGTGTCCTGGCCCTGGGGAGGCTGCAGCCTGGAAGGAAACCCCCCTGAAAATGCCACGCGCGTCCCGGAGCAGTGGCCACTCGCTGGCATCTCCTCCACACCCAGGTGCATCGTCCTCCTGCTGAGCACAGGCTGCGGATTTTTGGTTGAGGAAGAGCCCAGGGATGTGATTTGGGAAGCAAAGTGGCAACCTGGGCTTTTAATGTGAAATCCGGGAAGGATCAGCACGCATTCAGAGCTAGCCACGGACAGACTGGGGAAGTGCCCAGTGCTGCTGGCTCCGGCTCGGACTGCGGCAGATTTGGGAACAC